TGATTGGTCAATTGACAGCAGTTGTAGAAGTCCTGATCGAGGAACTTGTGGTCAAGCTCGTATCTGAATCGAAAGAGGAGATATCGGTTGACCAAACGACCAAAGAAGCACTCGATGACCACTCTCCTCTGGGTGAGAATCTTGTTCTTTAGCTTCTCTCCTTCACTGGCCTTTGCCAGCTCGGGTGACTTCATCAGAGCAACGCGCCGCACGCCAGGAGTCCTGTCGGATGGACCATGATATGCTTTGTCACCAAGTAAGATAAACCTCTGTGTCCTGTAGCCATCGATCTCACCAGGGCGCTTCACCAGGTAGTGAGCATACTTCTCATGCTCCTCCTTATGGATTGTGAAGTCGTGCTTCGACGCAAGGTGATGCTTGCTCACAAACACGGCGTAGTGGGGCTTGGTTCCGAGCACGGCCACCTCAAACTTGCATCCGTAGACATGATTCTTGCCGTCCCAGTACATCTTCTGATCCTTGAAGGGCTCCTTGTACTTCCTCAGCGTTGGTATAGTTGTAGAGTCAATGATCAGACCGATGTCATTGGGATTGTCSGCTAAAGATGTCATTGGTCGAGGTATGTTGACTTCGTCACTCTCGCGGCGCTTGAACATATTGAACACCAGCTTCCGGGCGATGCAGATTGAGTCGTGGACTGTTGAGGCCGACCATCCAGTGACCATGCTTGCCAGTACTTGGATCTTGGACGCAGTTGTGTAGAGCGCCAACAAGAGAACGATACTACAGTATGTTTCATAAGTTATGGCCACCCCCTGTTCAAACAGGTACGAGTTTGATATCTCCTACAAATATGGTTCAAGATTCTTATTCACTTCCAAATATAGTAGTCCACTTTTGCTCAAAAATTTCCATTTATGAATATTTTTCCAAAAATGGAATTAATATATCTTTATCATTCAAACGATATTTTTGTTAAAGTAATGAACATGTCCATTATTTATGCAATAGTAAAGAATGAATGAGTTCAAACATCAAACACTTTGTTGGAAGAGATAGAATATTATTTATGTACATTACAATTAATCATGTCATTAACAGAAGAAGAGAGAGCTAAAATCGTGAGAGCCAGAAGGAGAGGATATTCAAAGAAATTAATATCAAAGATGTACAATATTTCCCGATCAACTGTGAGCAGGACTATTCAACGACACAGCGAGCGAGGAGACTTCAAGGACCGTCTCAAATCGGGACGCCCTTCAAAGTTTTCAAGAAGACTTAGAAGGAGGATCATCAAAGCTTTGGTCAGGAAGGAGGTCATCACTTTGGACGAGTTGAAAGCCAAACTTGAACTGAGATACGATACAGAGATATCAACGGCTCAAATATCTCGTATCGCTGCAAAGGAAGGTCTCACCTATCGCAGTTTAAGCAGGAAGAACGATCTAAAGCAAGTAAACGCAGATCAAAGGCTCCAGTTCGCTATGGCTCATCGAGACTGGACAGCCGAACAATGGGAACAGATAGTATTCTGTGATGAGACCACAATTGAGTCCAACATCAAGAACTACCGTCAACACGAGTGGGCTAGACAAGATAACAACACATTCAGTCGAGTTCATGGCATCAGGAGACTTCCCGGAACCAAGGTCAATTTCTGGGGATGTGTCACGAGTGCTGGTGTCGGATATCTCTCTGAGATTGAAGGCAATTTAGAAAACACTCAATACACGGAGATTCTTGATGATGCATACTCTCGATCCATCCGATATTATCATGGCCAACTCCCAGACTTTACACTGGCGATGGACAACTGTCCAATTCATAGAGCAACAAATGTCACCAGCCACTTGAGAAGGAAGAGGATACCCACCCTATTCATTCCCCCATATTCACCAGACATCAACATTATAGAGAATCTTTGGGCGATCTTGAAGAAGAGAGTCAAGAGAGAGCTGGCAAAGAACCCTGGAGTGGTCCTTTCCGACCTTGCCAATGAACAATGGGAGCTAATGGATGACAGCATTGTTGAGAACCTATACGCCTCCTTGCCACAACGAATGGAGGACATTATAACAGCGAATGGATGGTGGACCAAATATTGACAACCTCCTTTGTCATTATTCTAGTTCATCGTTCCGATACCTTCGATCAATTTTCGTTGCATAAATAATGGCCATGTTCACTACTTATCATTTCAACACTCTCATTCAATTATTTGTAAATAAATATAACTAGCAATAAGTAATTCAATCAAGATTAGTAGATAATTGAGTCTATTATTTAGAGAGATAAGATATCATTTGGTATCTCTTAATATTGAAGAGATATCAATCACCTATCTGTTTGCTCAGGGGGTGGCCATAACTTATGAAACGTACTGTATCGAGGTAACTGATCTTCCTCTTCCTTCCTTTTCTGTCGTGCGTTTCCTCGGTGATCTCGGGCTGACAGTCACGGTACAGGTCTTGAATCTCCAGTGTTGTTTTGGATGTCAGCTTGACAACTTGCTGCACTGGTTTCAATGTAAGACCTTTAAAGAGAGGTGACGCTTCAAGCATCACATCTTCTGTCTCTTCAATGTCCTCGGCTTCGGAATCGTGTACCTTCTCATCACCAACATGCATCTCTACTGCCCTGCGACAATCTGCTGCTGCAAATATATTATCTAGGTTCATATCTGTATCTATTTATCTCTGTGGACAGCGCTATTCAGAAAAATAGACAGCCGCCATTCAGCAAGTAGACAAGACAACAAAAAAAATGGAAAATCAAAAAAAATAAATAGAAGTTCAGCTTCGTGAATGACACAGCCATGTCTGTTAGATAGTGTCGTCCACGTATTGGTTCATGGAAACCCTCTTCCAATCCACTCGGTGAACAATCGGTGAACATTGTGTGAACAAATCGGAAGTACGTGCTGGGACCAACTTGCTGGAGTACTCTCCTGGTAACTCTCTTGGGCTTGCGCTCGTCACTCTCCTGGTAACTCTCCTGGGCGTGCAAACTGTTACAGCGCTAACAGGCACAGAAAGTAGAATCATAGTAGAATTACAAAAATGACCTTCTTCAATTAGGACTAAATTAATTCTATTATTTTGAACTTCTAAACTCTATTTCTACTACAATTCTACATTGATTAGACAGATACTCTTTTTCCAACGTGCTCACTGCTATGGCGGTGACAGGTACTGAAAGTAGAATTGTAGTAGAATTAGGAAAATTACCTCCTGGATTTAGGATTAATTATTTTTATTATTTTGAATTTTAAAACTCTATTTCTACTACAATTCTACATTGTTGATACAGATACCTTTTTTAAAAGAAGAAGAGTGTATAAAACTATAGAGTGGAGAGTTTGGAAGTCGGAAATGAAGGAGCGCCAGCTCCGGAATGTTGCGAAGCCAGCGGCGATGAGTTATCCACACACATTAACTACCAACCTAGGGGACACTTGGTATACAAAGATACAACCCAGTATGTATCCGACGACTACAATACCAAACCCAAAAAAGATCTACAATCCTTGCAAGATGTGCAAGCATCAATCAGCAACCAAAGACTTTGGTTATCTGTACTGTTCAAAGAGGTGCAGGTCACTGGGCAAGAATCAACCAAAAAAGACCTGTCCCATGTGTAACATTAACCAGATCCTAGAGTCATCCAAGGCTTGTCATTCTTGTCAGAGCAGTGCTTCCACCAGACGTAGGGATGAGAATAAGGAATATCTATGACAAGGTGGATGAAGGAGAAGCAGCAGCCACTATTCAATCTTTATATACAAATACAGTTTTAATACTTTTAATCTAACAATTTGAACTATATTAATGTTTATGTAGTTTATATGGCTGAAAGTCAAAGTCAGGATCCTGACTTTTTGTAACTAGAATACGCTATTAAATGACTATAATAAAATATGTTTTTTAATTTTTTAAAATACAAAAAATTTCATCAGTGATATCTAATTGATCCAGGTCGCCAAAATCCTTTGTAGGTAGTGAATCTAACTATTCATATCGTCGTTTGGTTAATGATGATGATTGATTGTTGTTGTCCAATATTCTGTTTAGGGTCCTCCTACTCAGGTCTGAGAATCGAGATAGGTTGGGGTCAGTGACTGGTAGCAGTTGTTTGGATAGTATCGGCCTATGAGACTTTTGAATAGTGGAGAGGTTTACACTACCAACGGGTAGTGGACTAGTTGATTGATTCTTTGGTACTACAACCTTGTTGATCCATTTATCATGATCCTCTTTCCTCTCTTTTTTGACCTTGATCTGTTTGGGTCTACCAATAAACTCATCAAATGATTGGTGTGTCTTGTATTTGGCTGATTGGATCTTGTGTTTGGCAACATATCTAACATTGTCAAACTTCTCACTTGTCCAATTGGTGTGACCATCCACAATCTCATTGTATGAAGGAGATACAATCCTGTCCTGAGAATTGAGACCCAAACAGATGAGGACAGTATTGTCAATGGTGTATCCCAATTTGGAATCAACTCGCTCTATTGACATTTGGAAACACCTGTCCTCCAGTTTGCAGATTGTGGACGGTATCATTGGACATCCTGTATAGAAACATAGACCACGTTGATGTCTCCATCTTGATACCAATGATTCCAGTGATACCATGTTGAGAATTGGTCCATAAACCAGACCATTCTTTATCATCTTGTCATTGCGATGTTTACTTGTATTGTATAATATGGTGAGTGCCTTCTTTACTTTGTTTCTCTCATAGATAATATCCAACTGAATATCCTGTCCAACTCTATGATCTGATCTTAGATCACCTTTGATCAATGTCTCCATCTGTTTGGGACTGAATCCATTAGGATTATTATTGTTCAACTCCCCAATGATCAATTGAACATTGTCCTTGGTATACAATTGATTGTGATCAATACTATCAATTGTTGCAGGCCAATGTACATTGAAACCAATCATCATTGGTATACCACTGATAGAACAACGTTGATCTTGTGAGTTGTATCTCTCCAACAACCATTGATTATCAATTGGGACAGAAGATTGGTAATCTATCCATCATTATCAAATCCAACTTCTTTCAAAGTACTCTATGGGATCTTGTAGGAATGATTTGTTTCTGTTAATGGAAACTTTGTTAATAAATAGAATAAGTTATACTCTACTACTTTACTTACAGACAATATAGACACTCATTATTGGATACAATGAATTTCAATTCATTACATGTTATACAAAAGTTCTGCTCCATAACTTTTGCTGGTAGGAAGCGAGAGCATGACATAGTTTCATACAATAATTGTTCTTTGACAGTAAAGTCATTGATCCAATTATGAATGTTAGGATTGGGTGTTGGTGGTGGAGGAAGAGGAAGAGGAGTTGGTCTTGATAGTGGTCGTGTATGTATAGGTTTAGTTTGATTTGATTTAAGTCCCCTTGTTGGTCTGTAAATGGAGGATAGTCTTAATGGTGGTGGATTGTTGATCATTATTGAGTGGAAGTATTATAAAGATATAGTGGTAGACAGTGAATGAGTGATTGTTAAGTGAACAGTACAGGTATATTTATACTGTTGTGATTCCAGGTTGGATGAGAGACCCTTCTCTCATTGAAAAAAAAAAAAGTCAATCATCTTGGGATTCTGCACTCATTTTGTGAGGCAATCAATTGATTGACAGAGTTGGGTCACGTCACACTGCCAATCACCAACCAATATTTATCTCTGTATCTTGTGTGTGATCATCATCAATATGTGAAGTAGTTTCTGCTATCGGTATTGTTGTGTCCATGTCCTTCCTATACTCTGAAAACAATCTCTGTATCATTTCCAACAAACGTTTCTTCCAATCATCTTGACCATCATCAGATACCGTACAAAAGTGTTCTATTGATGCCAACAACTTTTGAAGGTTTGTAACATTAGTTGTTGATGTCGCTCTGAATACCTTTGATAGATCCATACGACTATAGTAACAAGGAGGTTAGTCATATACTATAGCTACTACGACTGATAATACTACATACTAATGATAATCAATATATTTGTGATATAATGATTGTATCTGTTCCAACAAGAATGATGGATTGTAGCATTTGCTTATTGTCCTAGGTAGTTCATATGGTATACGATAGGCATCATCCACCCATTCATTTGATATTGTCAATAGTTTGATTATCGATTCTAAACTATCTCTATCATCATGATATGGATTGATTATTGCTCCAAAGAATGGTTCAACAGTTTCTTTTTTGTACAAGTTCTAGGAAGGTATAGTATTAGTATATATGAGTCATAGATAATATATAAATATAAAATATCTACATACTTGATAAGAAGATTGTGTTTCAATATCTCTCAATGATGGTATTGGTGGAAAGTTTGGATGTGAATGATACCATCCAACAAGATCAAGTCCAAGTGCTGCAGCTTGTTCTCGGGCCGCAATCAAAGAGTTTGGATCCATGTCACATTGAATGTCGGTGGAGAGTGATTGACAGGGAATGGCCAGCCTAACAGTGATGTACTTTTTGTCGTGATCATACTTGCCAGCCAACACTCCAATCACCTCTGTAGAGGAGATGTGTGAATGAACGTCCATTACAATCAGTGCATTCACTGTAATGTCCAATTGATAGGGTGCTGGCGTTGTAGATGTAAAGTTTAGACACTCTACCAATGTGAATGGGTCTAAAAGTATGTCGTCCTCGTCGTCATAGTCCTCTTCATCATAGTCATTGTCGTCGTCAACAAGTACTTTGATCTTTTTTGTCTTTTTCTTGTTTACTCTTGATGGATCAATGTGTCTTCTCTTCAATGATGATGATGATGGTGACAATGAACCATGATTGATTGCACCAATAGACTCCAAGAATGTATGAACTCTACCAATGGCATTGACATCACCTGGGATACTGTTCCTTGCCACTGTCTTTGCCAAGTACTGAGGTCTAATCTTATTCCAATGTGATACCAATGAATTCCTGATTAAAAGGTATCGTTCCGGTGTCTTTGTACTCGTACCCTTAAAGAACTCTGAACATCCAATCATCTCTTCGTCTGTTATTTCATCTCTTTTCAATATTCGTTCGATAGAGTTGTAGTTGTTGTTGTTGTTGTTGTGATGGTGTTGATGTGTATGATTATTGATACTGCTTGTCTTGTTGTTGTTGTTGTTACTACATATATTTACATCTTCGTCGTTGTCTATAACAACTTCGTCTTGTTCCTCCTCTATGACCTCGTGTTGTTTATCATCTGATTCAATGTCCACTTCCACATCCTCATCGTCATCATGCTCGATAACAACATTGTTTGTTGGTATTGTAGTCGTTGTTGTTGTCATTGTCGTAGTTGTCTGATTCTTCTTCTTCTTCTTTTGTGGTTGTTGTTGTTGTTGCTTGGAATGGGACGATGAATGTGCCACTGCTGCTGATACATCAGAATGATGATTGTTTGTTGGTGCCTTTGTCTTTGTCGTTGACTTTGTGCCAGTAGTAGTCTTGATCTTGTTAAAGTGTATTCGAGCATGATTCTTGACTTGTAATGGATTCCTCGTTTGAATGTATGATGCAATCAGTTTCCATTTGCCTCTTCCATATATCTCCTGATTTATTGGATCGATCGTTTAGTCATTCATTCATTCATTCTTATTTCGAAACATACCATTCCCTTCATGAACTGTAAATGCTCATGGTCTGTCCATTGAGTATTGTGTGATGGCATGCCATATGATGATGCAGAAGAGATATGATTGTTGAAACTACTACTTGATGATTCAAGTGCTATAGAACAGTGTCAGTCTTTGCACTCGCTCATCGCACTACTGTATACATACAATCGATATCAGAGTTTACACGCTTCAGCTTCTCATTGAACTTTTGAGCATGACTTCTTATCTGCTTGGCAGTCTTTGTCCTTATGAGCATCTGTATCTTCTTGTAGTCCTTTCCATATTGCTTCAAACCTTGAATAAACAATTGTTTCTCCTCTTCAGTCCATGGTGTTCTATATTTCCTCTGCTGTTGAGATCCTGTTGATGTTGATGATGTATATAGATGTACTGATTTTGATCCCTCTTGCCTATGCTTTCTATTTGTTGTATCATTGTTATCATATATTGTTGTTGTCTGTGTTGTATGATCACTCTCATCAGTGTCACTGTATTGATAGCTTATATTATTATTGTTGTTATTGTCACTACTACTTGGATGACCATCATCATCTTGATCATCATCTTCATCATCATCATCTTCACTGTCATAGTCTTCATCATCATCATCTTGGTCATCATCATCATCATCGTAATCATCTTGATCATCATGTTGATCACCTTCACCTATGATATCAATCTCATCATCATCACCATCATCTATATCATCCATATTGATGATGTTGAGTTGATCAACAAACCTATCTGTCTAGTATTATTATTATCTCTTTCGACTATTTGTTGTTGTCGTTGACGATAAGTCCGTTGTGTGAAGATTGTTCATCTGTTTGAATTCAAACAAACAAAATTTCTGATTTTTTTCAACAAGTCATCTCACTTTAAACTTGACCAATGAGTTGAATTCAAAGAGGTCAAGTTCAGATCACACCCATTCAGTCACTATTCTTACACCAAAGGTTAACCTTCATTTGAATAGACATAACTTATTATTATTATTATTTATTATCATGTAAAGTCAGACATTATAAATATATATATATAGCATAAACAATAATTAGAGATATAGATAAGATGGAAAGTTATGATGATTATGGCTACGAGCAATACAACTCTGTAGCTGTAGTATCATTACCTACTGTATTGTCAAAGAAGAAGAAGACAATTGATACACCAGCAGCAGCAGCAGCAACAACAGCAGTAGTATCATCAACAAAAACAACAGAACAATCAATAACAACAGAATCAAACACAACAACAAAGACATCAACTTCGCCAATCATTGATGGAGCAGACTCAATCTCAAAGATAAAAGATATAACAACAACAACAACGACAACAACAACATTAACATCATCAGAATCAAACAATATAACAAAACAAGACAATGCAATCAATGATCAATGTGAAACAATCATTTTGGACGACGAAGACAACAACAACAAGACAGTGATCAATGTAGACGATGCGAGTGCAACCTCACCAAAGGATCTAGTACAAGACTTTATGATGTGGAATCCATTGTCTGATGACAACACGTCCAAGTTTGAGACATTCCTAGAGCAGAGGATCAAACATTCATTCAAGGATGGTCTGGCACCACGTGAACATCAATGGAAGACCATCAGATCAGTGATCAAAGATCTAGTCTATCCCAAGCATCAATCATCATTCAATGGCAAACGTTACAACTATCTTATTCAACATGCTGCAGGCTCTGGAAAGTCTATTACAATTGCCACTCTAGTATATTTCCTTTACAAGTTGGAGGTATGTCAGAGAGGTTCTCTTATTAATATATTGCTAGTAATCATTCTAACACATTACTACTACTACTACACAGGTAAACAACAAGTTAAAGTTTGATACTATTGTAGTGATGAATGATAGATCACAATTGGACGCTCAGTTGGGTGATGTGATCATAAAGTTCTTGGAGGCCAATGGTATAAAGAGTTGTTCACGTCCAAAGTCATCCAAACAATTGCAGTACGAGATATCACATGGAAAGAATAGGATTGTAATCACGACAATGCAAAAGTTCTCCCAACTATTGCCAACGCTCAGCAAGCAACAACAAGGACACAGCGGCACACCACAGGATGCCCTCTTTGAGACCTTTTCATTCAAGACCAACTCTGTGGCCATTATCTCTGATGAGGCACATAGATCACATGGCAAGAGTACCACTGAACGTCTACACGAGTTCTTGGTTGGCAATGTCAAGCAGACCAGTCAGATCACCTATTTCAGTTTCACCTGTACGCCCACTCCTCAATGTCTAGAGATGTTTGGTGTATCATCTGGTGGACGTGACAAGAAGCCATTCTATACTTATTCAATGGAGGATGCATTGAAAGATAACCTTGTATGTATAATTTAGTTTGTTAGACTGATGGTTAGTGTTTATTAACACACTACTACATAGATCTTGGATGTTATCGAGAACTTCAATACATTAAGTGTAAATGAAGGTAAACAACTACTACAACAACAACAACAGAGTAGAAAGTTGATGGACGAGTACTACCAACAAGATTCCTGGGACAATGACGGAGACGAGATCATTCAGGACAAGAAATCCATCCAGGAAAAGTCCGTATATATATTGAATCACTTTATCAAACTGAAGAAACAGTACGACACTTGTAGCTTCAAGTCTAGAGGTATGGTGGTGTGCTCTGGCAGGAAGGACTTGATAGTGTATAAGAAGACTATCGATGCCTTGGTGGCCCAGTTGCCAATGTCTGAGCAGTTTGATACCATTGCCGCCTTCTCCCCATTCATCTATGAGGGCAAACAGATATTAGAGTCCGACGCCAACGTCAATGGAAAGTATGCTCACTACGGTTCCGACAAGCATAGAGGTATAGTAAAGGCCATCCAAGACGATAAGATACACAACAGGATAAGATTACTTATCGTTGCTGATAAGTTACAAACTGGATTCGATGAACCATCAGTAAGTAGATAATAATATAATATTATATTGACATGACAGTTTACTAACATCTATATATTATTCTTCTATATATAGCTTGCAATGATGTATATTGATAAGAAGATGTCTGGTGCAAATGTTGTACAGACATTGAGCAGATTGTCAAGAACAACAAAGGAGAAGCACAACACATCGATCGTTGACTTTGTCAATGATGAGAAGGATGTTCGTCAGATATTCTCAGTGTACAGTGGATCTACGACATTGAATGATCTACAGGGCGAGGCCTATTTGCATCAGAGGATTCAATCCGCTGCCAACAACATCAAGGAGATGTTTTCCAAAGAGAGGAATGTAAAGACTTTTGCCAAATCGATACTGTTCCACAAGAGCAACAACACTGGCACCAGCAAACAGTACAATGATGTCGAGTATGACATACAGGACTTCCTCGACATCTATCCAAAGTTAAAGTCATCAGTCATGGTGGACTTTGCATCACCAATACCTCTGGCCACTGTCCAGTCAATCAAGAAGGAATTGGATAACCTACGACAACAACAGATGGATTCGATCAAGAATTCAAACAATACGTAAGTTTATATATTCTATTGTATCAGTGGACCCAGTAGACTAATACAATACTTTAGGAACTACAACATTAAGGTTAGGATGGATACTTTAACTGATCTAGAGGCCAAGTCTTCTCTGGAACACTCCCACAGCAATGTTGATTACGATGCTGACTTTGCCGCAACACTTTGGGCAGACAAGAAGTCCTACCAGAGTCCAGAAAAGACAAGAGAGAGTACTATTCAAAGACTCAAGCAGACTTCTGTATGTATAAAGAGATTGACTTTTAAGGTCCATCACATACTAACTCATAATAATGTTCTAGAAACTACTCACAACTCCATCGTCATCACCAACTGTGTCCAGTGCACCTCCTTCCCCAGCCATTGTCTACAACAAGTATGGTATTCCAATAGCTCCCTCTGGAGGTACAGCTGCAGATAGCAAACCCAAGGCTGCACCACCTGATCGTTCCGTTAGTGTTTGGTCAATAGCCAGCAGATCAAATCTTGGTAAACGACCAATGCCCCAATCTACTGCAACGCCGCATATTCAACCAAATAAACGAGTGACAGGTTCTGGATGACGAGTCAAAGACAAGCCGACCTTTTATATATAATTACTCTACCCTAATCGTACTCTTCAATTTCTCCAATCTCGAATTGATCTCCCTCCATCAATACATCATATCTATCTGGTTGTATCTTTTGACTACTGGCCACTCTTCTGGCAAGCTGTGTAATGTTGTCTGTGAACTTGTACAGTACAAGTCCAACAAAGACCACCAACAGCAATGATAGCAATACAATGACAGTGATCAACCATCCACTCATTGTTGTTGAAGAGCCACCTTGGAGCGTAAAGAAAATTGTGTTGGTATGATCGTTTCCAATCATTCTTACACGTATTCTAAACGATCCTCTTGGTTGTTCAGACAATTGTACCATGGCAACACCATCTCGGTCAGTGACATTTTGGACAACCTTGCTTAGACTCGGGTGGAATGTTCCATCTCCAGTGATAATTGTAAACTCTACCATTAGTCCTTGTGTTGATGATAATGAACCATTGTTCTTGATCTGAATGGCCAAATGATCGAATGATGTACGTCCAGCTGTCAACAGTTGATTGTTGCCTGATACTATACTCAAAGAGATGTTTTGTTTGCTCAGAGGTGAGCATGCTTCAGACACTGGAGCAAATCCAATGGTCCTATTATGTCGATTGAAATGTACGTTGTAGCCTTGTAGTCCAACATCACCAAACAGTATGGATACCTTTTTCACATCGATTGGGGAGATACCCAGACAGTACTCTTCATTGTACACGACCAAGTATTGAGTGGGAGGTATTGATATCTTGATCGGTTGTGATTCAGTGTCTACGCCCAGTAGATAAACGGTTGGATATTGATTGATCACCTCCTCTGTCAAGTTGTAACAATGTCCATACCAAAGCTCTTGGGTCTTTGTACCAGGTAGATGTGAATAGTTTACAGCCAATTGACTGATGAATGCATGAAAAGAGTCTGTATTAAAGTATAATAATGATGTACCTGTATCAACTGTGTGTGTACCAAATATAAATTAGTTCACTTGTAATTAAATTTGGTTGTACTTGGTCTACTTACCAAATGATGGATTAGATAATGGTATACTATTAAGTAATACATCATCAACCATTATACCAGTAAAGTTGACAGCATAGTAAGAGGCACTATCAACCATTGGTAGATATCTCATTGGAGCACTGTTGTACTGTTCATCCACGCCACCAAGTACCAACACTCCACCTTCAATATTCATACACAATGAGAAACTGTTTGATATATTGTACCTGTCCACAATCTTTCCAAATATATCATCACCATTACTTCAGTTACAAAGTTAGTATGATATAGTTTGTTTGACTTTGTTGATTGATAACATACTCTGGATCAAGTGATTGAATAGCCATTCCTAGTATACCATCTCTAACTCTCTTGGAACTTGATACTGGTGGATCACTGTACTCATCATAATGTGAAGAACATTGTAATTGTCCAAATCCTGGTGGTGTTGGCATGATTGGTTACAAGGTGTCAGGAGAGTCCATGGATGTTATATTGATATATATAAAAATACATACTCATTGATTCTGATTTGATACTACCAAATGTAGCATTGACTGTTAGTCCCGCCAATGTTATACTGTCTGTTACCAAGTCACCATTGATGAATGAACCATCCTGGTAGCTGAGCTGGAACTGACAGACTCCATCTCGATTGCATTTCTTGCATTTGGGCAAACATTGTAGCTTGGACGATGACATACTGTTTGAATGCTGATAGAAATTGTCTAATTGATGGTCTCCACATCGACAATTGGTCTGAGTCTGCTTGTCTGCAAACAACATGCAAGAGGCATCTGGAATTGCAAGTGCCGTGGAACCCGTATCAATTTGGACGGTGAACATCTGTGAGGGAGAACCAACCAATATCGGTGCATAGTATTCATATGTCTTGGTCAATCCACCATACATAAACATCTTATTGTTATTAATAATATCGTTGTTGTTGTTGTTGCTCTGGTTTTTGATGCTATTGTCATTGTCATCAATGTGAAGTAGGATTCTTGATCGACCATAACCAACTGTTTCTATTGGTAGTTGTTGTGTATTCTCTTTGGACGCTGTTGTTGAAATGACCTTCTTATGCATTCTTATTGTATGATAAGGTGGTGCAACACCATTGTCTGCCAATACATGTAGATCATGAAGTAACAATGACAATAATATGATTGATATTATCACTCCAGTTGTTGTATGTAGAACTTTCTTCATTTCTAATATATATATCTAGTTATAATACAACTACTACTACGTCTACTTCTACTACTACTTAATGAATGAGATACTATGGAATACATGATGATGGCCTGTTGTTGAGGTGAGTGTGAGTGTGTGTGTTGTTGAGGTGCTACAGATAATCAAGAAGCATTGAATGAATGTGTGTATGTGTGTGTCATCGGACTTGTTAATAAGTAGTAGAACACACCTGTTGACCTTCAACCACACATATTCACTCATTCACACCACACATCATTTACTGACGACGAACTTCCATGTCATTACTTTATTCATTGGATTGACCTTCTTCACCATCATTGGATGTAGTAGGTAGATTAATAGTGGTATTGGTCTTGCCAAGGGATATAGTGTCATCTAATCCATCCTCCTGGTTCGTTGGTGCCAATGGATTGCTTGTCCAAGGTCCATCCTCTTTGTTGTTGCTATCAAATACTGATGCTGTGTTGTCTTGGTTGTTTTTGGTCGAGGACTCTGACTCTGACTCTATTGGTGGGACGAATGTTGGCTGGGCAAAGAATGGTGATGATGTAGATGTTGTTCCTGCTGCTTCGTCATTTTTGTTCTCTGACTCTGTTTCTGTTGTCTTCTCCTCGTGCTTCTTCTCTTCCTCTTCCGGCTGCTGCTGCTGATCATCATTGGCAGGTTCTTCACTATGTTCTGTGGCCTGTTGTATAGTGTCATCATTCACTGTAGTATGCTTTCCCTCGGTAGAATGCTCCAAAGATGATGTTGGTACTGCCTTCTCCTCATTCTCTTCCTTCTTATCCTCCTCCTCTGGTTTGACATCCACTTCAGTAGCTGGCTCATCAACCTCTGTCTGCTGCTCTGCTGGTACTGATTCCGGGGCAACTTCCTCCATTGCCTTTGGTTCCTCAGTTGGTACTGTATCATCTGGTTGTTCGGAGACTACTGGCTGTTCAACAACTGGTGGCTCGACCTTCTCGTCATCTTCCTCTGTTTGCCTCTCCACATTGGTTGCTGGTTGCTCATCAACAGTCTCTGCCGGTGGGATATCCTCGACATCAGTTGCTGGCTCCTCAACCTCTGTCTGCTGCTCTGTTGATACTGATTGCATGGCAACTTCCTCCATTGCCTTTGGTTCCTCAGTTGGTTGTTCAGAGACTACTACTGACTGTTCAAAAACTGGTGGTTCGACCTTCTCGTCCTCTTCCTCCTCTGGTTGCTTCTCCACATCAGTTGTTGGTTGCTCATCAACAGTCTCTGCCGGTTGGATTTCCTCAACAACAGTTGCTGCTGTTGGCTCTTCAACCTCTGTCTGCTGCTCTGTTGGCACTGATTGCGAGGCAACTTCCTCAATAGCCTTTGGTTCCTCAGTTATTGGAGCTGGTTGCTGGACGACTGGTTGCTCATCCTGTGAGGTGGAAGCAGATGTTGTGGACATCTCTGTGCTACTGCTGCTGTCAGTTGTAAGCTGGTTAAATGTTTGACTGGAAGCTTGAGTGCTGCTACTACCAAAGACGTGGCCGGTGGACACTGGTCCAGTGCTGGAAGAAAATAAGGGTGTCTGTGTAGTCTGACCGAAGCCATGGCCGCCAAACATGGACGATGTAACTGGCTTCTCATTGGATGACATCCATGATTGGTTGCTTGATGATGCGCCACCCCACTGGCTGCTGCCAGTGTCCAAAGAGCTGTTGTTTGGCTTAAATGAGAATCCACTACTGGCAAACATGATGGGCACGCTTGTTGTTGTCGTTGAGGATGTGGAGGTTGTTTGTACGTCACTCTCATCATCAGTGTCAACATCATCATCATTGGTCGTTGGTTGATTTGTTGTGGCTAGCAGTGAAGAACTGTCAAATGAAAGTGTGTCGCATGGTGTTGGTGTTGGTACCGTCGTCAATACATCAGTTGACTCGACTGTCTCTTGAACCTGTTGCTGGGGAGTGTTCACCTCTTGAGAGTGCAATGGCTCGGGAGTAGCGTGGGTAGTAGTTGCTGGAGGTGTGCCAAACACAGAGTTGCTAGCAAAGATTGATGGTTCTGGGTTTGGTTTGTTCGTGTTTCCAAACACAGAGGCACTGGACGTTGTTGGTGCAGCACTACTTGTGGATGCCTGGGCAAAGATAGATGTTGGAGCAGTTATCAAGGCCAGAGAATGTGGTTGAGCTGATCCACCGGTGGCAAACACTGATGTACTTGATGATGCTGCTGCTGGTTGTTGATTAAAGACAGAGGTCGGGTGTGTCTTGGTGGAGTATATCGAGACACCCAAATTAGGTAGGCTAAACACTGACTTTTGTTGTTGGGCAAATACAGAGCTGGTCTTGACATGTCCCATTATGGGCTTTGGTGGCTCATCTTGACTTGTGCTGGTGGACGTGGAAGGAGTAGCTCCAATACTACCAAATTGAATGCTAGATGGAGCGACTGTCTGACCGGTCGCAATGAACGATACGTCAACATCATCAACCTTCTCGTTGGTGGTGGGGTCATCATCATTCTGATCATCATCATTATCTTCATCATCATTGGTGTCATCTTCATCTTCTTCTTCATCTTCATCTACATCATCATCTTCCTCTAGACTAAGGTTCAATGAACCAAATGTCTCAACCTTGGCTGGACTGGTTGGTACAACCGTGTCTTTGGTCATTGCTTCTGCATCCTTAACGATCTCAGAAGATGTCACTGAAGTTGACTCGGTACTAGCTGTCTTGTCAGTGTCTTGATTGCCAGACTCCTTTGAGGGTGGTGTAAACAAGGTCGGCTCCGAAGCGGGTGGGCCTCCAAACAAAGAGGTACTAGTGGTGTTGTTGTTGGATGTTGATGAACTACCGAATATGTTGATAGGCGGCGAAGTAACCTGTGGAGCTGGTGATGTTGATCCGATATTGACTTGTGGTGGTGCGTTGGCAGCACCTGGTACACCAAGGTGACCTGGTAGTGGTGAGGATATCGGTGCACTACCAAAGAGACTGGTTGGTGGGACTGCACCTTGTGTTGCACTTGGTGACGATGTTGAGGCACTACCAAAGAGACTGGTTGTTGGTGTGATACCTTGGACACTGGTCGACGATGTTGGAGCACTACCAAAGAGACCTGGTGTAGATTGCGTTGGTTGTCCAGAGGTCTGAGCTTGTTGACTAGGGGAGGAACTAGATTGGGTCGTTGTTGTCGTTGTTGTTGTCGTACCAAACAGATTTGGTGGAGAGCTGATCGACTGGGTTGATGGTGGATTAGTACCAGCAGCTGTTGATGTAGGCAGAGTAAAGAGACTTGGTGGATTGGAGACTGCCGATGGGGTTTGTGATGCTGTCGATCCTGATGTAGGCAGAGCAAAGATACTTTGAGACGATCCAGTGGTTTGGGTAGTCGTTGTTGTTGGTCCAAAGATACTTGGGGAGGGGGCCGTTGTTAATCCTGATGTAGATGGAGCAAATAGATTTGGTGGGGAAGTCACTGCCTTTGACGGAGAAAAGACACTTGATGATGGTGTTGGAGATGCAGAAGAGACAGCTGGAGCAAAGATACTTGTTGGTGTGGCAACTGTATTTGCAGTGGATGAGCTTGGTCCAAAGATGCTTGCTGGAGACTTGTTCATATCAAACACACTGGTTGGCTGTTGTCCAGATGTGGCTGGGGAAGCAAAGATACTTGGTGTTGGCTGTGCAAAGACACTTGGAGTTGAACTGGATGTGCTAAAGACACTGGTTGGAGGTGTGGTAGATGTGTTGAAGTTGGTTGAAAAGATTGACTGGCCTGCTGGGACATTGGGGACTGTCGCTGTTTGTCTTGGAGCAAACACTGATGATGGTTTGTTGCCTTGGACCATGGGTGGGGGAGGTGGTGGTGGCGCTGTTGTATTTGGTACAGCATCGAGGCTTCCAAAAGAAATTGGGGCAATCGGTCTGTTTACATCTTCTTCTGGCTCTTCCTCTTCCTCTTCTTCTTCTTCCTCATCTTCCTCATCGTGTTCGTCTTCCTCCTCCTGGTCATCCTCGTCATCTTCGTTGTCCTCCTCGTCGTCCTCTTCTTCCTCTTCCTCGTCCTCACTATCTTTGGACACATCACCTACTACTTGATCGACCTCATTGTCCTCACTCTCTTCATCATCCTCGTCCTCTTCTTCTTCATCATCCTCCTCGTCATCATCATCCGATATGTCAATCTGCCATCCTGGAGCAAGCTTGTTATCCTCCACTGGTACAGATGGGCTGGGAGTTGACTTGGGTGGTGGTGGCACTGGCTGCCTTGGTACTTGACAATCTTTGCAAAGTCTGGCAGAGTCATCATTGGCCACCTCACAACACTTGCACTTCCATTGTCCAGGCTTGAGCGTTGCGGATTGATCCGGGAACAGTGAGGCTGGTGGTGTTGCATTCAAGGTCGGATTGAATGTGAATCCAAGAGATGTTGATGTCGATGATGTTGCTGTCGTTGGTGGGAATAGTGCTGGAGCATTGGTATCTGGTCCAACAACAACCTTGGGCTGTACTGGTGTTGCCGGGTCCTTGGCCACCTTTGGAGTTGGCTTGGCCACCTGACACAGCTTGCACAACTTATCAGTGCTCTCATTGCTCTGATCACAGCACTGACACTTCCAACCACCCTCTTTGGTGGCCTGGGTTTGACCTGGGAAACTGGTAGTGGCTGTGGGATTGAACGTGAATCCAGTTGTGCTTGTTGGTGAAGTAGTGGTAGGAGCAAACGGGGATGTCTGGAACAGGTTTGAGCCTGTTGTTGAAGAAGAAGGTGTGTTCAGATTGAGTGTGAATCCGCTGGTAGGAGTTGTTGGATTGAACAAGTTGGTCACTGGTGCTGTTGTTGACGGAACAAGCGGCGATGTTGTTGCTTTGGTAGCATTCTTGTTGGGTATCTGGCACACGTTACAAAGTCTATCTGTGAGCTTGTTCACTGCCTCACATGCTGGACACTTCCACTGGTCATCCTTGATCGATGATTGAGGGAACAAGCTCGAAGTGTTTGATGATGTTTGATTGGGTGTGAATCCACTTGTAGGAGTGTTCTGATTGAATGTGAATCCGCTGGTTGGGACAGTAGTTGGTGCAACTGTGGTAGTTGATGGATTGAACAAGTTGGTCACTGGTGTTGCTGTTGCTGTTGCTGTTGTTGTCACAGGCGATGTCTGTTCTCCAAGTCTATCAGGGACGATCAGGTTTGATGTGTTTGATGATGAATTGAGTGTGAATCCACTGTTCGGTGTGGAGGTAGTTGGTGCAACTGTTGGATTGAATCCTCCAGCTGGTACACTTGGAGTAAGGTTGAACATGATTCCTCCAGTCGTTGGTAATGATGTCGATGTTGTAGCCTGAGAAGATGTACTAAACAGACTTTGTGCGGTGTAGGTGCTGGTGGGATTGGGATTGAGATTGAACAAACTACTGGTAGTAGATGGAGTCGTCAGTGTCGACTGTTGTTGCTGTTGGGTGTTAAACATGTTGAATCCACCAGTTGTGCTTGGAGTCGGCGTGGCAATGTTGAACAATGAAGACGATTGTGTAGGAGTTGTGGTGGGTGGAGTGGCACTGAACAAGCTGGGTGTAGATGTCTTTGGACTGGGATTTGGTGCGTGACACAGCGTGCAGTCTAACTCGGAATCCTTGCCAATCTGTTGGCATGACCGGCACATCCACTCACCAGCCTTGAGTGTTGGTTGAGGCATCACCTTGACTGGAGTCTGTGATTGTTTGCTTGGTGTCGGTGGGACGGACGAGGTTGGGGTGGTCACTTGAGTTGTGCTCGGGAAGGTCATCTGTGGCTTGAAAGATTGTGTCTTAATGTCCTCACCAAGTGCAAAGGAGATTGGAACACTTCGAGCGTTCGAGCCTGTCTCGCTGGTACCACTTAGCAACGAAGAAGGAGTTGGCACAAGTGACTCAAACTTCTCATTGTACATCAGTTGTCTCTTTACCAACTCTTGGACATCGCGTCTATCACCTCTTTGGTAGCTACCACGACCACCAATTGGCTTGAATGGTGACTGTTGCTGCTGCTGGTGCTCATCAGATATGTTCTTGATGGCCAATGGCGATGTGGTTCTGATTGGCGTCTTGAATGGCGATGGCAAGATCAACGAAGATGCATTGGACAAGTTTGACCAAGAGTCATTGAACGAAGGCTCCATCTGAAGTTTGTCCTGCAGCTGCATCAACTCCTCCCTATACTCTTGTATCTGATCAAGATATTGAGAGTAGTCAACCTTATGACTCTCCAAGTCCTTGATATTATAGTTCTGGCACTTGTTCAAATATTGTGATGCTCTCTGCATCAATGACTTGAATATCTCTTTGGTGTATGCCGGGCTGAGAGATAGAGAGAAGGATGTTAGTTATTGATCAAACAATCAATCAATCAATCAGGTGACATACTTTGAAATATTAAAGGTAATGATATCAAGGCTCACTCTGACAGTCTCAATGTTGGCGGCGGGGGTGTCGGACTTTACAAAGTGTGACAATGCTTGCTTGAACACTCGTCGATCCTTGTACAGTGTTCCAAGTGCCAGGTGTATGTTATCCATCGTTACTTTGGACAACCTAGGTTGAATAAAGTATATGAGTGTTAGTGATGGTGTTGTTGATAAGATGGATGTGTAGACTGATGGACAGACTTACCTCTTGGATTGTAGTGATCGAGTGTATAGTTTGATTTGAATGGATGGGATATCCATTGACTTGTAGTCTGGCTGGCTTGATAGTAGGTAAGGCAATGCCTCGGCGACACGGTGACTAATGTCCAGACTTAGGCACTCGCCATTAGCCAGTACATTGTTAAGCTCTACCTGTAATGCAAACAGTGATAGATCAGCCTTTTGTTGTTGTTGTTGCTGTTGCTGTTGTGTTGTTGTTTGATGTATCTTGATTGGCGTTGTCTTGAACTTGATCGTCAACAACTTGGATGGTGTTGATATGATTGATGATGTGTTGTTGTTGATGTTTGATTGTGATGTCCTGAGTGGCTGTGCGTGGACAACCATTGATCGCCATAGCTTGACGTTAAAGTCAGCGGCGGTTGTGGTGTGAAGTAGCTCGTGCTGGTCAACAAAGACGCGCAGATCGCTCGGACTGGACTGGTAGGTCTGCTTCAGTGTCTCGTCCGCCTCGAATATGAGACCAACGACAAACACCAGGATGTTGGAGAGTGTGACTGGCTCGACGCCGCGCTCACCCGTCGTCGTCTCGGCCAGACGCGTGATGAATGGCTGGAACAACAGCTCTAGCCACTTGATCAGTATCGAGTAGTTGTTGGACACTCGCTTCAGATGCCACAGAGAGTAGTCCACAAACCTCGCCAAATCATTGGGCGACTGTTGTAACAAGCGTAGATCATTCATCTCAATGTCGGCAATCAAGTGCTTCTCGATGTGATTCTCGTCCAACACTGCTCCCTGCTTGTAAAGATGTTCAAAGTACTCGGTGTTGCTGTTGGTGTTGTTGTCTGCTGATGCTGCTGCTGCTGCCTTGATGCCCTTAAAGTATTGAAGGAAGTGCTTCTTATGATCAATATGACGCAGACTGAATAAAAGTTGTCTGGCAATCTCTGCGTATGTTTGTCTCATCTCCAATGAACTCCTATCTGCAGGAGATGCGACTAGTGGGAGAGTTAGTCACTGGAACTATTCCAATCAATGGCATACATATCCTTACTTTGGAAAGCCTCAAAGTAGTCTGTGAATGGATAGCCTTGCTTTGGATCAAAGCTTTGATTAAAGATTTGGTAATCCTTGATCAGACCGCAATAGTAGTGGTAGCGGGTCTTGAACAGGTTGATGGCGGTGGTGTAACGATCAGTTGACAAGTCGTCAATGACTACCTGCTGCTGCTGCTGCTGATTGGTGTAGTGAAGGTATCGTGAGATGTCCGACTCGAGCGCCAACACCTTGTCTTGGAATGACTCGAGTTCAACTTTGACACGAGAGTAGACGGCCTGGTCCAGGGGCGAGGCCAACAGCAGTCTGATCACTCGGTCGAATGACTCGACCAGCAGTAGATGGAATCGGACAAACTCCATCTTGGCATCGGTGAGCACCTGACTGACATAGGGTGCATTCCTCAGTGTTGCCGTCTTGAACTCTGGTTCCATCGTGGACCAAAGTTGTTGCAGATGCTTATGAATGAACTCCCAATATCTCAGATTGTTATGATATCGCTCAACACTAATTCTCTGATGTGAGTTGTCATCAGTTGGGGAGATGATCAAGAAGAACCTAGTGTATGTATATAAGGTTTGAGTTAGTGAGTGATGGATTCATTCCAGCGTCGCTCGTCAAGACCGAGACACATACTCGCTATAGTTGGCTTGTGTGATCATTAGCTCAAGATAGAGGATGGTGAAGTGGATGTGATCGGGATGCTGGACTATTGCCTCGCTGAGGAGTAGTGCCGCGTCAGGGTAGAGTTTGCGCTTAATGCAATACTCAATGTTTAGTTCGAGTGATTGCAACACTTCTCTAATCTGTTGTTGAGTTTGTTGTTGTTGTTGAGATGACTTGAGTATTGTAGACTTCTCCTTTGTCAGCCATTGATTACATTGATCCAACTCCTCGTTCAGAGGAGACTCCAACTTTAAGTACTGTTTAATTATATTGATCAACTTGTCCCGATAAAGCAATGTACCAACGTTGCTCTCAATGGATAGCCATCTTTATGTATAAGTTTGATTGGTTGATTGATTGATTGAGTGATTGAGTGAGTAAGCGTCACTATAATGACATCAACATCAATCAACATACCTTGTTAGTTGTGATATATTCTGACGTATTCTTTCATCGTGACTCATCAACAATGAGAAGTTACTGGATGATGTTGATATTGATGTTGTTTGAAGTTGTCTACTAATGTCATCCATCATTATTTATTATATATATCTATTATTAATTACTACGTACGAATATCAAACACTAATCTGAATTTTTGTCAGAACTGACCAAGTTAGTTGAAGTTGATCGAGATCCATGAGGCACACAACCAAAATAAGAAAGATGGTGTTTTTGAACTTCAACTTGGTTTGAGAACCAAGACAAAGAGATTATTAATAAGACTTGGATCAGGTCAATTAAAAACCAAAAACAACTATATTATTCAAATATATATACCACTACTAAATATATATTTCTATTCAAATAAATAAATATTTCTAAAGTATATTCTTAATACTATGGACACATCTCCAACTACCAACCTTAATGAATATATTGAGAGAAAGAGAAACATAACAGTACTCTATGAAGTCCTTCAGGAATTGAAAAGATCGATACCAGGTGGTTTGTCTCATCACTTTAACTTTGACAATAATCAAGAATTCAGTCGCTCATCAGTACTCTTTGAATATGAACAACTTCTTTGGAAAGCATCTGTGACAAAGGAGTTTGCTTTATATCCAACTGGTAACTGGGTAAAGTATATATACATCAAACTGCCAAATGTTGGATATCTCTACTCTACAGACTATATTGATTACTCCAACCCATGTAAAAGGGACATGTTTAAGATGGTTCAAGAGACAATTCCATTCATTCAATCTCTACAGTCTATTGTACCATTCAATGACTACACAACGGAGATTTATTACAAGAAACATCAAAATAGACTCCAAGTGCGTTTTGAAGAGAAGACTGTTATTGATCAAACACTCTTACCATGCATCTTCACAATCATATTTGAGGATAGACCATATGAGAGTGACATCAATCATCATCGGTATAGTAAGAGTGAGCTCCAGAAAATCCGTCTACAATTTAACAAACAACAATAGGGACTCACATTAATTGATGGATAAACAATAACATCGATCAATCGTTAACGATTCATTTTTAATAGTCTGGGAGTAGAAACTCTTGGTCTTTCTGGAAGGAGAACTTAATTGTGCCAAACCCAAAGAGTGACTTGTCTTTGGGAAATATAAAGTATCTCAACTCTTCATTGCAGATCAACTTGACTTTGACATTGTTGTATTTGATTTTGATTGGAATTGGATATTGACTCCACACACTGACTTCAATATCTGTCGACTTGTTGCTCTTGTTGTCCTTCCCAAAGGTGTTCAGAGGTGTTGTTGATGTTATAGAACTGTTTGTGGATGATGTCTGTGCATTATGCATTGCCTCTTTAATATAGACAGTGAAAAGCACATAATTAATAAGGAATGAGCGTTGTGATGGTATCTTATGTATACCAAAGCTGCTCTTCCTGTTGGAAATATAATGGATCGCCAAGTCCATTGTATTTCTAAACACTTGTCTAGTAGCCACCGACACTGCTTCCAAATGTGATCTTAACAACTGAGTCTCTCTACATTGTGCCTCAAGCCTCGCACTGAGTTCATCTACCTTCCTAGCCAGTTGTTCAACTGTGACCATCTGATGATTTGAACCATTATTGTTTGATTCATAATCGTCATTGTTGTATGTCATTATAGATATGATTTGTTATATTATTAAGTATTAATTCTAATCATTGATCGAGTACTTAATTTGGAAGTATTCCATTTAATTGTTCTTGAGATTCAGAGATAGAAATCATATTCCTTGAATCCCAAGTGGTCCTTGCCTCAAAAAAAGAAAACAGAGGAGATGGATGTCATTACACCCACCTGAGGTATTCGGAATTTCAGGGGGTAATTTCTCTGTGGGGATATTTGTGCGTGAATGATGAAGGTTACAGGTCTGAGATAGTTGTAGACGTGATTCATTTAATTAATTTCCCAAATTATTAAACAAACAGATAATATTGTTGTTCTATAGATCATATACTATCTAATCATATATAATATATCTTATACAAATATAATTATACGATCATTTTGATATCATCTACATGTACTATTATTACGAGCATTTTTAAGACATGTCAGGCGTACCTCTTAGAAATACTCCAACCAGGATACAGAAAAAGGACTATAAAGAGAGAATGGAGGAAGTC